ATCTCCAACAAAACCTAATAGCGAAAAAGGGCCAAGTTCCAGACCCCCTCCCAAAAAAGTCAAGTAGGAGTGATGTCTACATCGTGGCCAAGTCTGCTAATTCTTTAGTTCATAACCTCACTTCACTCCTACTTTCATGAGCAATACTGCTGTTTCATTTGAATTTCTTAGCACTTGACCAGTTTCTGAATGAAGCATAAAACATCATTACCAAATATACTCCCTTGAGTTATGAGTGCGATAACTCAGAAGAAAAGAAAAGAGGTTCAGATCCCCTCCAAAAAAAGTCAGCAAATCAAAGTGTTAGCTAAATCTGTTTTATGCCTCATTCAGAAACTGCCAAATGTTAAGCAATACAAATAAAAGAGAAGTGTTGGTCATTAAAATAAAAATGAAGTAAGGTTATGAACTAAAGAAATAGCAGACTTGGCCACGATGTAGACATCACTCCTTTGATAAGCTGACTTTTTTGGGAGGGGGTCTGGAACTTGGCCCTTTTTCGCTATTAGGTTTTGTTGGGGTGTAAGTAATTCGGTCCAAAGGAAAAAAGGTTACTTTTTCAGCTATCGTTTCAATACTATAATTTTTTTTTAAGGGCATTTTTATTTAAACGATTAAACATCTATATAAATATAAATCAAAAGAGTATTAATACATACATATGAGTAAAATATATATATATACATATACAAAACATGTGTGGGGTTCTACTTCCAGTGAAGTAGTCCCATTCTTAATCTAATATTTAGACTAAGTCGAATGGCTTCAGTCGTTTGAGTCGTCTGATGTCTTGCGAGTTGTCGAGGAGTTGTATGGCAGCTGTATTTGAGTGAAGCTCCAGTCTTTTTGCGTGTTTGCGGGCAAACCGGGTAATTTCATCCTCCACGGATGTTATTTTTAGATCGCGGTGGATGATGTCGTTCTTATCATACCGATATGCTGCAACAATGGTACGAAGAGCGATGTTCTGGCAACGTTGGATGAGTTCGATATTAGACTTACTGGCGCAGCCCCACAGTTGAATACCATAGATCCAAATCGGTTTAACGATCGATACATACAAGAGACGTTTGCTGGTTAGGTCTAGCTCGGAGTGTCGCCCAACTAGCCAATACAGTTTGTGCATTTTTTCTTTGATTTGCAACTTTTTCTGGCGTACATGATGTTTCCAGTTAAGTCGCGAGTCAAAGTGCATTCCCAGATATTTTGCTGAATCATTTTGTAGGATTATCTGTTGATTTAGCGTGACTGGGATATATGCGGTTTTACGTAGCGTGTAGTTGACGTGCACCGACTTGTCACTATTGATTTTTATTTTCCAACGCTTTGTCCAGTCGTAAACGTTGTTGATTGTCAATTGTAGGATCTCAGTCGCAGCTTGTTGGTCTTTATTGGTTGACAATATTGCCGTGTCATCGGCAAACATAGCTATCTCATTAGTTGGAATATCAGCTGTAAAGAGTAGGTACAAAAAATTAGGTCCGAGAACACTACCTTGAGTTACTCCAGCTGATATACTCTTCCAGTTAGTGGTCGCTGATACTATAATTGAAATTGTTCTAATAACCTATTCTAACTAACAATATAGACATAAAACTAAATTTTTAGTTGATACTAATAATGTAAATTAAAAATCCAAAATTTACAAATAACGCTGTTTTAGCTATTTAGAAATTATGTAGGTAAAACCTAACCTATATTTGATATAATAACAATATCAGGCTGTGTATATCTAAGTAAAATTTGATATATAATTTAATAAAAAATTGCTTTTGGATTTCAACAAGAAATCAGTTTGGTTCCGTTAAAAACATTTTACTGAGATAAACAGCTTTATATTGTGCAAACATATTTTAGGACTTTAACGATTTTTAAACGGTTACAATATCGTTTTTGTGAAAACCCTGATTTTCGAATTCCCATTAGTTGATTCTTGAGAAATTATAATATAACTTTATTTAGTTTCAAAAAAATTAACAAATCTAGATTCCGTTAATCCAATGGACTTAATTATTAGAATCTTCATCATTTTCATTTGATACATCTACTTTATGAAACTCTAATCGTGGATCAATTAAAACTGATGACAGAAACTCCATCTTTTTCAAATCTTTAAGTAGTTCATTAACCTTTACGTTTATGATTTCAAGTCTTCGGTTAAGATCTTCAATGGATGGATGATTCGGCATTTTCTTTTAAACCAAAACAAATGTAGCTGTATGAGAAAATATGTATACATAATTAATATTATTGTAATACATAACAACAGTAGTTTTTTTGTCCCGGGGCTCACAACTGTCATCTGGAATTAACATGTTTAAAAACGTAAATTGCGTACAAAAAAGTAGAACAATGAAATGTAAATGTATATCATCGAATAATTAGATTTTAACAACTTTTCCAGCTAAAACTGTAGTTGTTGTAATGTTAGGACTTTTCTACCTCAAAATTAATGTTTATATATTTTAATTGTGAAAATTGTAATTTCTGTGGTACTATCCCGTAAATACCAATATTAGTATACAAATTGTATTAATAAACAATAAATATATATATGTACATATACGGACCGCACGGCTGTAAGTCCCACCTTTAAGTATAGGCTCAATAACTAATAAGGCATGGTTGGGACATTATGCGTTGGTTCTTCTTTTAGTTACCCGGCGGTATCTCACTGCTCTATGTACAGCTGTTTGATTATGTTAACCAGTTTATAATAATTACTAAAATATTAAAACTGAAAAGAGTGTAAACAATTTCCAATACTAAGCGCTATCGAGTCGGCTCAAAATGTGTGCAAAAGTGTCTAACTAAACATTAAAACATACTTGAATTTCCTTGTATTCCTTGAGTAGTATATTTACTACTTTCGCTAACCTCACCTATCTCTTGCCAAATCTATTTCTTATCTCTTTATTTACATCCTACTCGTGGACCATATGCACTCAATACATTTAGTAAGGGTGACTGGATACAATTGTAACGCGGTCAATATTTATTCTCTATGACAAGATTAAAAATTCAAAAATATACACCAATTGGTAACTTTTATTTTGAAAAGAATTTAGTACTTTTAAGAAAATAACAAATATCCAAACAAAAGTGTTTTATTTGTCAAAAATAATACATAATAATATTGTATTTAAGACAATAGAAAAAAAACAGTAAATATACTATGTGCAAATATATAGTTTTATGCTGATACGATGCGTACAGATATAATAACAGTAATGATTTTAACAAGCCTGTTTAAACCCTTTGTACCTATCAACATTATTGACCAGCATATAAAAAAATATAATATAATTTTTAATGTATAATGATGTAAAATAACCCAATAACAGGATTTTTTTAAGAAAAAACCAATATCGAAACAAAAGTGTTTTATTAGTCAAACATAATACATAATATTGTATTTTTTTTATAAGAAATAAAATTCATTTAATCAAATATATATTTATATTCAGTGAGATGAAGCTCGCTTTTAAGATTCACAAATAAGTATAAGTAATTTTATTCACTTTTTGCAGCACAACAGCATTCGACGTGTCTGTCGAACTTATTTGTCCGGACAATCCGTCTTTTTTTATAGACACAATATGTATTGTGTCTGCACTAATGTTTTTGAGGTGTTTAGGAGTGACAATAGTGGCTACAATAGCATTTGGCGCCTTTACAGAATTTATTTGCCCGGACTTAGATTCTGTTCCGACACGATTAGTAGAGACAGCGGTGTCTACAGCATCACTTGGCCCATTTGCAAGTTACTTGCCCAGAGTTACATTTTTCTTGGACGCCATAAGTCTTTCCAACAACTTGCTAAATACATTTGATAGCGGTAGAATTTAATTTCAAAATGAACTTTACATTTACACACTTTTATATATTTTAATTAGGGATGGGAAATTGTACTTTGACAACTTGTTTATCGGTGTTTTAAACTACAAATTTTCAGCAATAGGTGTATTATTTTATTTTATTTTATTTTATATTAAAAACGCATTTTAGTGTTAACTAGATGAATAACATTATAATTATTACCATCCGAGACATGTTTGGTGATAATTCCTCAACTATTGGTTGTGTATAATACAAAGAATTATATACTACACTGTACTATGCTGTAGTAAAATATAAGTAACAGACTTCTTAACTAGACCATAGAAGTCTATGGTTTAATAATAAACATTTTGATGTTGTATCTATACTAAGTAGACATCGTCGATTTCTCACTCTTATGAAATCTTAAGTGATAGATGGTAAGGTATAAATTTCATAATGAGTTCCGTTATTTTTCTGTCAATGAAATCAACGATACAAAATAGTAGTTGCAATTTTTTTTTTTAATTAAATTAAATTAAAAACACCATAAAATAAATCGAAAATACAGATGTCTGCCTAGGAAAAAAAAACCAATTTAAAAAAAAAATAATTAAATTTATTTATTATAAAATAATTCACTTAAACACGATTGGTCGATTAATTTAAAATAAATATCGAAACAAATTTTAATTTTAAATAGAAACATATAATAAAAAAAACAACAGCTAGTATAGTAGACTATAAACATATTTCAATAAATAATAGAAACAATATAATAACCACTTATTATCAACATGTAATTAATGCATCGAACAAATTATTAAAATATAAAAGTAGCAAAATTAATAAAAAACATATTTAAATACAGATGAAAAATAAAATTTTTTTAAAAATAAAAATTAAAAGATAAAAAATAGATCCCATAAACAACATTAGTCGGCTAGAAATAAATAAATATTTTAAATTAATCGACCAATCGTATTTAAGTGAATTATTTTATAATTAATAAATTTAATTATTTTTTTTTTAAACTGGTTTTTTTCCAAGGCAAACATCTGTATTTTGGATTTATTTTATGGTGTTTTTAAAAAAACCACAACAGTAATTAAAAAATACTATCATATTATTTTAACAAAATAACTATAGTAACAATATTATCTACTAATATTTATGTGTAAAGTATGGAATTAAAAAATTAAATTATAAAAATATTAAAACTAAAATAATGATTAAATCCGTCAAAAGCATTATAAATTCAATGGAAAATGTCAAAGTAATGATCAGTTAAACGATAGTAAACATTGAAAAACTATAAAAAAAACTGGTAAGTATTAACATTACTCGTATAGCATTTATTTTTATTAATTTGTGAGTGAAAAAAAAACAAAAAATAAAATATTGTTACTGAAACTATTTCAAAATTGGCAAATAGTCACGAGAGGTATATGAGGCGTTAGTCGTGTGCTTTTGCTTGATGACTTTTTAGAGTATCTTGGCGACCATACGATTTTTCACAGACGGAGCATTTATATCGTACCCCAGCAATATGTATGCGTTTATGAGTTTTGAGGGAACAATGTCGACTGAATGTTTTTTCACATACATTGCATTTAAAGGGTTTCTCTCCGGTATGTATGCGTTTATGATTTTTGAGGTGATGTAGTCTACCAAATGTTTTTCCACAGATATCGCAGTTAAAAAGTTTTTCACCGGTATGTATCTTTTCATGAGTTTTGAGCGAAGACCGAGCGCCAAATGTTTTTTCACAGACATTGCATCTAAAAGGTACTTCTCCGGCATGTATCCTTTTATGGTTGTTGAGAGAAGAATGTTGACTGAATGTTCTTACACAGACATCACATTTTAAGGGTTTCTCTCCGGTGTGTATACGTGCATGTCTCCTGAGATCACATTGTTGCCTGAATGTCTTTGCACAGACGTCGCATTTGTATGGTTTCTCTCCGGTATGTATCCTTTTATGAGTTTTTAGATAAGTTCGGTGACCGAATGTTTTTTCACATACATCGCACTTAAAGGGCTTTTCGTCCGTATGAATGCGCCAATGTATTCTCAGGTATGACCTTGATGAAAAACTTTTTAAACAAATACCGCAATCAAATAGGCCATCTTTGTTTCGAGTATTACGGTAATCCATAGATTTTGTATGATTTAAAGTGTCGATCTCGTTACACGGATAATGAATACTGCAACACGCATGAAACAAAATAAATTAATTTAAGATCAATATTTTATAGCAAATATTAATATAACTAATATTGTAATATGTGTTAATGCATCAAACAAGCATAATTTTTAGGAAATAATTTCAAGGATTTGGCATACGACACATAATAGTGTTGTAATTTATCCGTTTGAAAATATTTTTACTTATGTTATTTTATAAAAATATACATCTAATTTTTTATATTCTCAAATATAGAAATTAGAAAATTTACTTATTTAACTTGTTTACAATGCACTAAATTTTGGATTTTAAATGACTTCGTAAGATTATATTTCAAATCTAAATAGGTAACGGTCAGTCTATATGTTTTATACATTTAAAGAATATAAAATGGGTGAGTATGTAATATTGTATACAAAATATTTTAGCATACTACTAGCAGTAGGAATACTCTAAATGCGATTTTTTAAGAAAAAATAAATTAAATTAAGTGGAGTTGAAGAAGTAGGAAAGTAAAACAGAATCATAGAATTAAATATTCATCTCATCGAAAATTATAAGTAAATTAGCATTGATAATAGCTACAAAATAAAAGAATAAGAGTAAAGAACATGAATGTATGAATGTATGTTTTGTTAGAATATAAAAATAAAGTTCCTTATCCAATGATGCTGATTAGTTATCAAACTAAGCAATTATTTTGAAATTTCCAAAAATAAGACAAAACAGATAGAACTGAAAACATTTTATTCATAAAATCTGTGTGTATTGTCATATTTTAAATATATATTTATTATATATATATTTTATAAATTAAACGAAATTAGCCTTCATAGTTCTATTTAATAATATGCATATATTATTTTTAAATAAATAATAATTATTGTATAATAGGATTGTTTAATTTTTACTACATTGTGCGTACCATTAAAAGTCGCCAAAATATAGGCACCATAATATCCCCAAGGGCTGACTTGAAAGTAACTTATGCTTACTGTTAGTAATCAAACCTCACTTATTACTGTTATTCGTGACAAGCAGAATTCTTTTAATAATTTAAGTTAACAACCTAATCACCTAACCGTCAATCAATGTTACTTAAAACAGTAATTTATGCTTAAATTCTATTTTTCTTTATTATGTACATGGTTACCTTAAAATGTGCTTTTTAATTTTCCGTTTTGTCTTAAACGATAGCTGGCAGTAGTTGCAGTCAAATGACAGTGTTTGCTCTTCTTCAGCATCAAACAGTTCATGCTTAACAATTTCTATTTCTGATTCGAAAACACAGTCATGGAAGCATTCTTTTTCAATTTTGATATTCAGTTCGCCGTTATTTCTGCCAAAACTACAACAAACAAAAATACAATACATTATATTATCGTATTAAAATTAAAAAAATATATACATAATAGTAACAAAAAAAAAAAGAATAAAGAAAATGCATGTATGTTAAAATTTAACGTGACCCAGAGACTAGAAACATATTACAAGGGTAAAATACTTGAAATCGTTGTAGGTAGAATGGTATAAAACAATATAACATTGTAAATATCATGCGAATGTACTGTAACATAATGCGGTACTATAGACTCTGACTGGTCATCGTACCCACAATTTTATTTTTTTGATATTTTGGTTTAACATTATATTGTCTCACAGTACTTTATTCAGCCTTAGTGCGGTCTGGCCTGGAATTTGGGTCAGTAGTGTGGAACACTAGCCAGGTCGGTCTTATTGATAAAATTGAAAAATCCAAAGAAAATTTTTAAGATTTGCAGCACTTAAAATTAATATGAAAGGTCACCCAATTGTCGACATTGAAAATTGCTGTAACCTTGTCTCGTTAAAAAATAGACGGTCTTATGGATACTCTATTTATTTTTAAAATTTTAAATGGATATGTTGATAGCCCGGAACTTTTAGAGAGAGTATCTCTCTTAGTGCCTAGTGTAAACACTCGGCACCATAATACTTTTTTTATTGAGCATCAATCAAAGAATTATGTAATAAATAGCCCTATATGTAGTATGTTAACTATATGTAATAAATTGTCTAATTTTGATTTTTTCATTGATAATATATGTAAATTTAAATTAAGTGCTTCAAATGTGATTGATATATGTGTTAGTTAATAAAGTTGTTAAATGTTTATTGTGTTAATGTTAAAGTTGTTTAATGTGGTTACTGCATTACATCTGTACTCATTGCTCCCTGTGGGGCGTTACTTTATTAAATAAATATATTGATAAGAGGTAGATGTAGCTTTAAAATAATCTATCATTATACGTACAAGTGGTTTCTAATAGAAGTTTAATGTAAGCGAAACGCTAACATCGATACCAAACGACGGGTTTATAGAGGAGTACAACATAATAACAAAAACTTGATAGTTTTATTTAGGTTAACAAAAAATTGTTATAAAAACTATTTTACCTATAAGTATTGTCGACTTCATTCTTTACCAAATACTCCTCTGCTGTAGAAATTGCATTGTTTTTTAACTGCACATGTAATGGTTTAGGTTCAATGACTTCCAACGATTTTTCAAAAGATTCTTCTTCCGTTTCATCATATTCGTGTTTTATTTTCAACATATTATACAGCTTCCAAACTCTATAATTGACATTTAACATTAGTTGTATTTCTGTGTCACATATGCACAGAGGTTTAATAGAACGATTTAATTACACAATTTTACTATTTTAATTAGTAAGAAATTTGGTAATAATAACAATATAATAAAGGATAATTTAGTTAACATGATTTGTAAAATAAGAAACCAACCAAGTTTGCAATGGTCTATTTTTTTTTTTAAACATTTATAACTAAATTTTAATTTATTTAAATTAGATGAATTAAACAAAACTAAGAGTATGACTTGTAGGTAAGAATCTAACACGATAAAGATTAAAGCTAGACGATAGACCATTTTGCGGACTAGAATAATTTAAAGTGGCGTTGATGCCGTATCACTCGATTCAACTCTGAGTAAACAATAAGTAATAAACAAACACCTATAGATTATGATTGTGTTTATTTACAAGCAGCATTCTAAGTCAACGGAAGACAGAAAACACGACAATAATGTAAATAAAATAGAAACACAAAGCGGTAGGTACTCACACACCGTAGAACCGTAAACCGTTGTCCAGGGCTGCTACTAAAAACTTATGATTAACAGGCAAGACAAAACTCAATTGTAACGCAAATTGAAAGAAAATAACGAAACACGACCCAATACGTTAGGTATTTATCACAGAAATCGACAAAGATATTATGATACGAATCGGACCCGTAGCAACAATGCTGAAAACAAATAATTGTTACTACGGCGCTAAATCTAATTTAACTAGTAATAATTAACAGAAATTCAGTGTACAAAAAGATATCTCAATTTATTATTATCAAAAAGTCAAAACAAAACTTGAATTTAATAACAATGGTGATACTGATTTTAATGCTAACTGCGCGACAACGCTGAAATTTTCTAAACAGATTTGTGATAGTGTAGGTGTGATAACGTTTGATCGCCACATGTTGAGGTACACTGCAGCGTGGAGGTAAACTGTCGCGCGTCTTAGGAGGCAAACGGATCAAATTCTCAACCTAATGACAATTATTATTATGCTCTTTATCTGGAAACCTGGAAATTGACCACGGTCAAAGCTAAGATTTCCTCTTTTTTTTGGAGTATTTCCTTAATGGATAAAAGTTTCGCTGCAGATTTTTGAGAAAATTGTACCTCCTATATGTTTTAGTTTCGTTCTAGATCTTCCTCCGGTCTAATTTTCAGACTTAAGTCCCTCCAAAACTTTGCTTGAAAAAGTGAAAAAAAGAAGAAATGTCTATCTCTTTTGGTGGAAAGGGGTTAGGATATGTTTTGGTTTTGTCAATGTTGATCGGTAGTAGGTACTATGTTGAAAGAATATTTCAGATTTGTGAAATAATATTAAGGAGTTCTAGATAAACAACTACCTATTAAAGTGTCATACATTCATATTTTTATTTTGTGGCCTCACTATACATATAGTTTTGTACAATTTTGAACATTCCTTATATCCGAAATTGCACATAATTTTAACTTTTGCAATTATAATTTTGCTGAATTATATTTTTTACACTTGCAATAATTGGTAAATTAAGGGCACCTAAAAATGTCTGCACCAGGTCATGAATAATTTTACTATTTTATTTTTATATTCATTTAAACTATTTTGAAAACGATATATGGTTTTATTATTGTTATTAATTTTCCAAACATGTTATATTTAGTTTCTTACACGAAAACACAGTTTCAATGTTATTCGTTTAAATATCAAGAAAACATATTATTTTGATGTGATGTTTTGTAGGCTTGTTCAAACAGTTACCTGATAGTTATACGCCATTTGTACTAAATAGGAAATTTATCCAACCAAAAACAATGTCGTTACCATTGACCTAGATATATTATTTTAAAGTTTCTAAAATTTAAACAAAAAAACATTTATAATTTCTATTACTAACGTTAGTCCACCAGCCTATTTCTCAAAATGCTAATAACATCATAAATATTTATACAAAACTTGGTTCTTACTGGATATTTATGATATACTTAATAAATATTTAAATAATATACCTATAATATTTTATTTTATTTTATCTAAAACGATTTTTCCCAACGTGTGTATAACTCTTCAACCAGAGGCCCAAATTTAGGTTTCCAATTGTTAGGTATCATTGTTTTTGGCGTTTTATTTTTCTCGGGTTCGTATCGAAGTGAATAACATATGAGTAATAGCCCACACAAAATCACTTTTCTAAATCAATACACAACCACAAAACCAATTTTACAAACTTGGAATTTAGCACACGATAACGCGTTGAAAAAATAATATGAAATCAAAATACTTTTAAAATTGAAATATGTAGGATTCATTTTCGTACTCTGAATTGTTCTTACTTAAATCTTATTTAAGCCAACCCAATACTAATGTGGTTGTGGGCGACTTGTGGCCAGCCAGAATATGTTTTTCCACAACTCTCCCTCTCTCACTACATTTACAATATAATATAAATACCTGAAAACACTAGAAACCTGGCTAAAAATTGTAAAATAATACCAAACGAAACTAAATCAGCTCGCGTCACACTGTGTCTTTAAACGAAACTCCCATTCCCCGGTGCTCTCAAATCAAATATTTAGGCTTAATATTTAACGAGCTCTTAACCCGATCACAACATTTAAACGCAAAGCACTCAACTATCGACTAGATATGCTTCGAACTCTTCTACACTCGAAAATACCAATAAAAAACAAGCTTCTTCTTTACGCTACCCTTTTGAACCCAATATGAACCCAATAAATACCCAATATAGTATTATTATCTGGTAATTAGCAAAACCTTCAACACCAAAACAATTCGGGCCTTCCAATCCATATGTCTCTGAATAATCCCAAAGGGCCATTAGGTATGTTCAGAATGTTTTACTCCATTCCGGCCTCTAAGACGACTTCTTAGAAACTGACCCAGAACTGGCTCAATAACTACTAAACTTAATGTTTTTTTTTAATCTTATTTGGTGTCTCAACTTTGAGATTCCTTATTCATGTTATTCACTGACTGTTTTGCATTCTTTTTTTTTCTACTAAATAGCTAACTAATTTACTTAGGTAACGCGCGCAGATAAAAATAACTCTACGCGGTTTACTCTACCGCACTCCACCTCCCGTCATCAGTCATCCTCACTTTCAAATGAGTATAACTTTTGAACGGATGAATAAAAATACTAATTTTTTTCACCAATTTTTTTTTAAAAATTATTTTGAATAAATATTTAATTTGTCAAATCTTCGTGGGCCACCCTATATAAATGTATTGCTATAATAACCCATATATCGTTGTTAACAATATAATGAAATATTTTCATTGCCTATTTACTCACTCACACATAGCAACCTAGAAATTGACTACGGTCATAGTTCAAGTTTCCCCTTTTTTTGGGGGGGTTTTCCTTAATAAAAAATAAGTTTGATCACAGATTTTTTTGAGAAAATTGTATATGTTATAGTTCCATTCTAGATAATATACCTTAAGTCTAATTTCTCCGACCTAAATCCCTAAAACTTTGCTTCGAAAAGTGAAATAAAGAAAAAATTCTAGCTTTTCTATTGGAAACGGTTTAAATTCCACACAAATTTGGAATTAGTTTGACTTGGTAGTTGTTAAATCTTAAAATTGCGCCAACCAAATTTTTTAAAACTTTCAGCCTTTTTCCCAGGAGGAGGGAGGGTTGTTGAAATTTCGGGGTTTTTCTTGTGCGATTTTGTTGATGAAACTTTTTTATATAGAAAATGCTAAGGTTATAAGAAATCGAAAATATTTTCGAAAAACATACACTTGTGCACACATGTGAATGTTTTAGTCATTATTTTTGCCATCGATAAATTTCCATACATTTTAAGCAGAAAAATACGTCGAACGAACGACAAAAACAAAATATAAAATAGGTCAATGTTCGAATTTCTCATTTTTTTGTGCACATCTTAGTGTGCAATCTACAAACTTACAACCATAAAAACGAAATTCCCCCCTAAATTCAAAGGAAAGACAACTTTTTTTTTAATTAGTCAAAACTTGACTATAGCTATAATCTCAAAAGTCTTTTCATATGCTTCTAATCGCCAGTAGTTAGAACCACGTATCTTAAAAATATACTAAGTAAATCTTAATTTAAAATAAATAGTCCATCTTGTAGTGTTATTTAAATAGATAATGAAGTATACAATTGCGACTAGCCAAAAAATACTTGTTTTCACCGAAATGTACCTACCCACTTTTTTTTTGCAGGCAAAAAAAAACAAATTTTTTGAACCTGTCTAAAAATTATATTCATATTTATCAGACTGTAACTGGATATTTATCATTGTAATTACTTTCTGCGAGTTTCTGGAAAAACGGGAGGAGTTTAATTTAAAATTTTGAAAATATAAAAAAAACTATAATTAGTATCACTTTGTCCTAAATTTTGTTTTTTGCGGTTTGATAATCAAACGAACCAAATACTGTTACTTTTAAAATGTCCATAGTGTTTAAAAAATGTACTTAAATAGCAACAATTGTGATTAAAATGAATTAGGATTAGAGGAAAAAAAACCGGAAGAATTTAAAACAATAGCATTATTCCAGTCACTAAAGCTCATTCACAGTGCAAACTAAACACAAAAACAATTCCTGGTTAATAAAATCACTTTGGGGAAAAATGCATACCTAAAATTGTTAATGTGATATTACGACCGATAGTACATTTTATTTATTAAAAATATAAATAGGTATTGATAGAAGCACTGTAAAGACAATGCACTTAAAATTAACCTATAACTATTGCATATAATTAGTATGAATCATGTCGCACCCTTGGAGCAAGACTGCCACAACTCAAGTTTTGAGAAAATGCAACTAAAAGATTGAACCTGCTCCCAAATGGCTAATTTTAACTTTGAAAGCTTTAATTTTAATACTTTTCAATTATTTTTTTGTTACCCGGTGCTTGTTGTTTTAATTTCAAGCTACTTAGTTAAATCTCAGCCAGACACCACAATTTGAGGTTACGGCTATTTAGCAATAGGTTTTAATAAACCAAACTGCCAAATTTGTTTGTTTTGCCAGTTTACCATTTTAAATATTTTTTAAGCCGCAATGAGAAATGTGGCAATTTTGTTTTTCTTTTTAGATTATTAATATGTGGCTACAAGACAAAATGTGGCAGTTTGTTATTATTTCACCAGTGCATCTGGTTAAGAATTATTATCAAGTTAAAAGTTAAAACGCCTCAAATCGAAATGAGACAGTCTTGATTTATTATTATTAAGTATAAAAAACTGTAGCAGTATAATATTTTATTAACCGAAAAAACCAAGAAATTTATTACAGAAACGTTGGTTGGGTTTAACGTCAATTCATGTCTGGCCTGACACGAGGGCATTTGTTCCATTAACCCTTTTTTTCTTCTACCTATTAAATTATGATAAAGACAATTTTGATCTGATATACCAATACATAAAAAAAGGAAATGTAGGTAATAAATTTTACAATTTGCACGCCAGGAACTAAAAGAACTTTTTAGACCCTTAGAAAAAGTTTTATGCCTTTCCGGTCGTTATTTTGCTAAATTCGTTTCTTATGACTACATTTTGCACATCGATAAAGAAAACAAAATGATAAATCGTTGTAAAGCAAACACCCAATATAAATACACGTGCACCTTCGAGTTTATTACAAAAACATGTTATTTTACCATTTTCGATAAATCAAAATACACTAGAAAATTGATTAATTCATTAAGGACAGGACACTAGTTTTCTCTTAAAATAATAGCATTTTTGTAGCTTTCATAATAATTGGAGACACTTAAGTTGGTGTTATT